CCCCAGAGTGACGGGTTGGTGGAGCGGTTTAATCGGACTCTTGCAGAGCAGCTGTCCATCGTAACATCTAGTCATCAGAATGACTGGGATCTGCAACTACCATTGGTCCTTATGGCATGCCGCACAGCAGTCCAGGATTCAACTTCTTGCACACCTGCCCTCTTGATGCTAGGACGGGAGCTGAGGACTCCTGCTCGGCTGGCTTTTGGACGGCCTCCTGATTCGCCAGAGACCCCTGCTGGACCTGCCTATGCTAGGCAGCTACAGGATCGGCTGGACGTTGCACATGAATATGCCAGGAAGCATATTCAAGATGCTGGAATACGACAGAAGAGGAACTACGATGTGAACATCAAAGGGCGGCATTTTTTGGCAGGGGAGCTAGTGTGGGTCTATTCACCTATCCGGAAGAGAGGCAGGTGCCCCAAACTGGACAGTCACTGGGTAGGACCATGTGCAGTCCTGGAGCGACTGGGGGAAGTTGTTTATCGAGTTCAGTTGCCCCCCCGTGGACGCCGGGTGGCTTTACACCGGGACCGCCTCGCACCTTACAAGGGCAACTCTGCTCCTCAAGTACTGGGTCGGAACGCGAGAGAACCAGCCACGTTGTCAGTTTCAGAGGGGAGTGCTACGAGCAGGCCAGAGGACACTGGGGCTGGGCAGGATGAGAGGCACATTGGGGAGGTCATGACCCCTCAGCGCCCCAGAAGGCAGCGACGTCCTCCTCCAAGGTTCAGAGACTTTGTCCTCGGGGTCGAGGACTCTACAACGGGGGGGATATTGTAGCGTGTTCAGAGTTAGATTGTTACRGTATCATTTCTAGAGTTGTACATTTTCATATAACAGCTTGGGAATGAGATGTTCACGCGAGTTTTACGTGAGAGAGGAGGAGCTAGGTGGAGATAAAAAAAGAGAGAGAGTGTCTTTCTTTGCTGAGGTGTGTGTGTGGGGTTTTTTGGCTCTCTGTACGGCGTGGCTGCGGCCTACAGCAGCTCCTAAATAAAAGTGGTTCTTGAGTTTATCAAAGGCTCATCTTGATATACATTTTCACGCACAACTAGAAGCGTTACAATATAATGAGGGGTTTGCTGGTAATGTCTGGCAGAGTCACCCGCCAGATGGAGCTTCAACTCACACCTCCGGGAGAACTTGTCAGTAAACACAATTTGTCACTGCATCTATAACTGCTTATTTGAGATGGACCGACGCAAAGTAGAAAGGTGACCTGTGGTCTGACGAGTCCACATTTCAAATTGTTTGTTGGAAATAATGGATGACGTGTCCTCCAGGTCAAAAAGAAAAAGGGCTGTCCAGATCATTATCAGATGGAGGGTAGTGCCGGTGCATGGCAGTGTGCTACATTGTAGTTTATCACCGTCAGTGTGTGAATATGTGTGTGAAAAGGTGAATTATTGAAGTGTAAAGTCCTTTGGAGTCAAGAGAGATTTGATAAAGCGCTATATAAGTTCAAGCCATTTACCATCAGTGCAAAGTTCAGAAGCCAGCCTCTCTTATGGTATAGGTGTGTATTAGTGCCCATAGCATGGGTAACTTGCACATCTGTGATGGCTTCATTAATGCTGAAAGGTACATATAGGTTTTTGAGCAACATTTGCTGCCACCCAAGCCATGTCTTTTTCAGGGACATCCTGCTTATTTCAGCAAGACAATCTCAAGCCACATTCTGCATATGTTACAACAGCATGGCTTCATAACACGGATACCAGACTGGCCTGTCTGCAGTCCAGACCTGTCTCCCAGTGAATGTGTGGCACATTATTAAGTGCAAAATATGACAACAGAGACACCGGACTGATGAGCAACTGAAGTTGTTCATCAAGCATGAATGGGGAAGAATTCTTCTTACAAAGCTTCAACAATTAGTGTCCTCAGTTCACAAATACTTACTGAGTGTTGTCAAAAGGTAAGTTAATGTAACACTGTGGTAAACACGCTCTTGTCCCAGTGTCTTTGCAATGTGTTGTAGGTATCAAATTCAAAATGAGTAAATTTTTGAAACAAACAAACAAACAAACAAACAAACAAACAAACAAACAAACAAACAAACAAACAAACAAACAAACAAACAAACAAACAAACAAACAAACAAACAAACAAACAAACAAACAAACAAACAAACAAACAAACAAACAAACACAAACAAACAAACAAACAAACACTTTATCAATTTGAATATTAGATATTTTGTCTTTGTAGTGTATTCAACTGAGTATAGGTTGAAAAGGATTTGCAAATCATCATATTTTGTTTTTTTTATATGTTACACAACATCCCAACTTCATTGGAGTTGGGGTTATACACATTTCATTCACCAATTATCAAATCACCTGAGTCATAATGAAATTAAGAGTCAGCTATTGACCTAGAAAGTTTTTTATGACCCAGCTGCTCAATTTATTGTGTTCAATAACCATTCTAAACAACTGCAAAAAGAGAGTCACATAACGGCAGCCTGACACAAAATTATTTATTGACTTTTTTTCCAACTTCTAGAAAATTCTAATTTTACCAACAGTTCTTACTAATAAAGTACATTAAGATTGAAATACTGTAAACATGTGCGCTTCTTGCAGCATGATCAAAATTTGCTACAGTCAAAAACATTTTTTTTACACAAAGGCAGTGGATGCAAGAAAACAGGGGCTTTCAGTTAATTCACCACAACCACAGAGCATGGTTTTATCGCTCTCTTTTTTTTTTATACACATACCAAGCATAACAGTCTGTCTGGCTTAAATAAGAAATTAATTTGTTCCATACATCATCCCTGAGCAAATGATCAGCAAATTACACAGACAGTGTCTGTGAAAAACGTTTCTTCTGATTCAACACACTGAATTGGAATGTGAAGTCTTTACTGTGGCAGCATCTTTTTTTCAGGTAATCAATATTTATACAAATTTGTAGCTTCATTTCATCACAATGTGGCATTATTTCTACAGACACACACATACTCTAACACACAGACTAATGGCATGACCTACATCCGCACAGAGAGCTTACTGAATCACATAATAAGTATTTAAATCGAAGTTGAGGGGATTTAAAACGATCCAAGGTGTACAGATGAAGTTAGCACCGTCTGTGTTAAGTTACAAACTGCAGAACAACAATGGTTTTGTAACAATCACACAAATGACTAAACCTTACAACTTTTGAAGACAAATATTTTTTCTGTTAAACGGTAAGCATATCATTTTTGAAACACTACTTCACAAAAAATAAACAAAAGTCACAGTTTTAATGCTGTGAGGCTGTATCAAACTGAGCATCAAGTCTAAAAAAAGTTAAGTCTTCGACATGCAAATTCAACAAATGGCTGTTTTTAAAAGTAGGCCGGCACAAACACAGCATTCTTCCATCTTTATGTCAGAGCAGAAGCCACTTTTTCAGACTTTAATCTGTATATTTTAAAATTTACCTCATTAAATAATGCTACATGAGTCTCACTTTTTAAAGTTTTTTCAGTATTTACATTTTCTTTACTTTTCTGTTGTAAGGCCTGTCAGAAAATTAACACTGAAAAAAAAAATCCTGTGGAAAACTCGCCTTTCATCTGAACAACATATAAAGTATTTCAATAAAGCTGTTGTTGAAGACAGCAGCGCACTCCTGACCTCATACTGGCGTGGTCCTCCGGTTTGCTCCATTTTTCACCTCTTTCTGGAAGCAGTTGTGGACTTGTAAAAATCCAGTATCCCTCTCAGGGCTGTACGGCCTCGCAGGTCCACTTCCGCCCTTCAAAGGGTCTCTGCTGAGGGAGTAAAGGGATATATCCCCCATTGGTAGACCCATTCCCAAGCCTCCCCCTCCAGACCCTTCACCGGTTTTCATTCCTACCGGGGACGGCTCACGGGAGGGGTCTGTTGATCTCGAACTGGAGCGTGAACGCCTCCGCCTGTAGCGATAGCTTGGTATGCGGGAGTACGGCGAAGAGGACGAGGTGGTTTTGATGAAGTCGTGCTTGGCTCTGAAGCGTCTCTCTTTGTTTTTTTCAATGTATATGTTGACGGCGAGAACGCCCACCGACTCGGCCACAATGAAGGAGAGGGCGCCGAAGTAGAAGGACCAGCCGTAGTTATACTGGTTCTTCTTGTCCTCGTCTTTCTTGTCACTGGGGTCTCCAGCATTGCTAGAGATGTAGACAATGATGCCAATGATGTTGCTTAGCCCTGAAAAGAGTATAAACACAAAATAAGGATGTAGGAAGCGATGGCAGACATTGCGATGAAAGAAAAGCTACTTTTAAGGAAAAAGCCTGACATCACTGTGCCTTCAGGATATGATGTGGAGCATCCATGGTCTTTTGTCACAATACTGTGTGGGTGTGAGGAGGCGAGCCCTAAATTTATGTGTCTAAACAAATACTAATCTGCCAGGATATTCCCTCTTTCTTTCAGTCTGTAGCCTTGAACAGAACATACTTATCATCATCCAAGTGTACTGTTCAGTTTTCCTACCTGCAGCCACAAACAGGATGCCTGCACTGAGCAGGATGTTGTTTTTTCTGCTGTAAAACCGTCCCACACCGACACACATGCCGCCCAACATCAGAAGGATGGTGCTGAGAATTGGGAAAAGGCTCGAAGCTCGAACTATACCTGTTCAAAGAAGACAGAGACATCAGTGCCTTCCAGTCTGTGTTAAATATAAAAGACCAAGATAAACATCACATTTTTGTATATATTGAGCACATGTTGCAAGAAGGAATAAAAAAATAGACCTCTACAGTAAACAGCTTCATTCACAACAATGTTGATAATTTATTATTATTATTATTATTATTATTATTATTGTTGTTGTCGTATTTTTTTACCATTTCTGGGCAAAGTCAAGTTTGGTCTTGATCAAGGGCTTTAAAAAAATCACAAGATCTGCAAAGGCATAAATAAATCCCCAGAAAACATGTTTGCATTATGCTCTGATGTAAATCTATAAAACTCTTGAATGGATGAAAATCATCCACAGCTTTTATGTTTGAAAAGGTTACTTTCTAATTATTTTGTACAAAACTCTGTTTTATGTTTATTCAATCCATCTAGTGCTTGAAAATCTTTTTACTGGAGTACTATGGCTGTTTCTTAGCCTCATGGGGAGTTCATGGTTTCTCTTGTAGAGGGGAAAAAACTCACTAGGGCCCCCTGTCTGCAGCCAACTGCATTCAACACAAACTGAGCATGCCTTCTACCAATCCCCAAAATCCAATTTTTATTCACAAGAGATGAACATAAAAATATTGTATGGATGCTCACTGTTTTCCACACCTGGAGCATTCACTCCTACATGTGTAAATGCTCTAAAACAATGATTAATGATGTGCCAACACAAAGCGCTTTTGATAAATTAAATAAAGTGGATATCTCTTCATTCCTGCAAATTCACTCGTTTATGTTCATTTACCTACAGTCACATCTGATTACTCACAAACCAAACTGAAGTCTGCTTTCAAATGACATCATCAACCTTATCATACCAAAAGCTAATACTTCCTTTGGTCGCTCCTCATTCCAGTTCTCTGCTGCACGACTGGGACCATCTGCAACATCATGGACCTTAAAGCTTGACTCAGTCATGTCGTTATTTTTTTAAGTTCCATACATTCAGTAGTACAATGCTACTCTACTTGCTTTAAGTTTCATTTTATTTTACTTTTATTCAATCTTACATGTTTATTTTTTCTTTCCTTGTTTTTATTGTTATAGTGTGTTTTACTTTATGTTGTTTGCGCTGTGCATTCATTTTAATAATTTATCTCAGACATTTAGTTTTGTGATGCTGCGCTTGACTAGTTCGTCATTGTAGAACCGATTCTCAAATGACTTATCTGTTAAAAAAACATTTAGGACTGTTGACACAAAGCTAAAAATGTCTAAATCCACGAATCAGCACACAAAGAACCAGAACACAAGAAAACTTGAAAGTTCTGACACAGAACAACTGTCTTTGAGCTGGCACTGTTATATTAAACACTGATAATAAAGCTCCAGCCAATAACTTTTTGTATTCTATTATTGTCATTTTTAAGATTTCCTCTTGTTTTTGTAAGGTTGGAGAGAAAACTGTGGTCTTAACAATGTAGGGATGCTTATCAAATTAACCACATAAATTTGTTCCAGAATGAATAAAGCAACAATACATGTAGGATGATGTACGTCCTCCATGTGGCTGCTACTTTTTTAGCAGTAAATATTTGACTTGCATGAAGCTACCAGTGTTAGTAAATCAGGTAGCTGTTTTTAGCTACACCAGTGGCTTATTAGAAGATTTCACTAACTTTCCTTAATGCAAACAAAATATGCAGTTAAGGATGAACTTTTCTTTTTGTGTTGTTGAATAAATAAAACTGTTGCTTTAGTAAACATTACATCAATGCAATATATATATA